AGCAAAGAACACGGAAATGAAAGGGTCACAAAGGGGATTCCGGATGACCCAGCAAAGCACAGGAAGTGGAACGGGCATCGGGCGTCGCACCTGAGGAGAAAAGCCCAGGTGAGTGTCTGACCTGGACCTCAGGCAGGAAGGCTGACTCTGGAGACAAGCAGAGATGCTCCCAAAGCAGGACACCTGCCAGGCCCAGAGCAGGAGGGGAGCCCTGCATGAGAACAAGGCAAGTCCAAGAGCACGTGTCCAACAAGGAGACCCCAGACAGGCTGGAAAGAACCACCGACGGGTACGTAGAAAACTCAGTAAGTGAAAACATGATGTGATCACTAGGCTCCAGAAAAAGCAAAACGTGGTGTTAGAAAGGAAATGTAGGGCTGGCCCCGTGGCTTAGCAGTTAAGTGTGCACGCTCCACTGCTGGCGGCCCGGGTTTGGATCCCGGGTGCGCACCGACGCACCGCTTCTCTGGCCATGCTGAGGCCGCGTCCCACATACAGCAACTAGAAGGATGTGCAACTATGACATACAACTATCTACTGGGGCTTTGGGGGAAAAATAAATAAATAAAATTAAAAAAAGAAAGGAAATGTAATCCTAGCATACTAAATGTGCCAGCCATGAAAAATACCTGCAATCAAAATAAGATAAACACAGAATGTCTATTTAACCAAGATTAGGATTAACTGGATTGAAGAATTGAGGAAACAGAAGGGAAATATGTGGGAAAGTCAACAGAAACTATCTAAAAGGGGGGGGGGGGGCACTAGAAGGAAACAGCCAGGAGGCTGGGAGTGGGAGGCAGGGCGGCGAGGAGGGCACAGCTACTCGTGGTTACACAACATGCAGTACAGTATTTGGCTTTTTACCCTAAACACATGATAAAAATTAAAATTAAACTGAGGGCCAGCCCCAGCGGCCTAGTGGTTAAGTTCGGCGCATTCTACTTCAGCGGCCCGGGTTCAGTTCCCGAGCGCAGACCTACACCACTCACTTATTAGTGGCCACGCTGTGATGGTGGCTCACATACAAAAAGAGGAAGGTTGGCCACAAATGTTAGCTCAGGAGGAATCTTCCTCAGCAGGGAAAAAGAAATTAAACTGATATAAAATTCAAATAAGTACCAAAAAAAGTAGCATGCTGAGGCTGAAGGGCAGCAGGGATGTGTCAGGAAGAATGGGCCGAGGGCTTAGCGGTTAAGTGCGTGTGCTCCGCTACTAGCGGCCTGGGTTCAGATCCTGGGTGCACACCGATGCACCGCTTGTCTGGCCATGCTGAGGCAGCGTCCCACATACAGCAACTAGAAGGATGTGCAACTATGACATGCAACTATCTACTGGGGCTTTGGAGAGAAAAAGGAGGACAAGCAATAGACGTTAGCTCAGGGCCGGTCTTCCTCAGCAAAAAGAGGAGAACTGGCATGGATGTTAGCTCAGGGCTGATCTTCCTCACAAAAAAAAAATAAAATAAAAACAAATATAACCTATTTCAACTCCACAGCTAGTGCCTGGGTGCATCTGACCATGAATTCTGCCTCAATAAGATTCAACCAGAAGGCTCCCCTGTAGTCCTCTCTCCTTTCCTCTGCCGGTTCCTGCTCAGGCGTGTTACATGACACCGCACCTGACCACCAGATGAGGTAATGAGATCCAAACGTATGACATTGCTAAAGAAAGAGAACACAAAAGCCATGTGTATTATAAATGGGAGCTGCTTCCATTAAAAATTCAGGTAATCCACTTAAATAATTTAAAATGCTTCCTTCATAAACAGATTACGTAAAAGACACTGACCGTGCTACCTTTGAAAATCTGACAATGATCGACATAACCTAGTTGCTATCATCAAGGACAGTAATGTGACCAGCCCAAGAGTCTCATGCACTCAATATTTTGAGAGCTCACAGTGGAAAGTACAAAAACTTATGGTCTTTATTGCTGTTATCCAGCTTATCTGAACTGTTCCTAGGGTTACTTTTAAATCATGTTTAAAAAAGAACCCTTATCTTTTAGAGACATATACTTGAAACATTTATGGATGAAATGACATGTCAGGTACATGCTTCAAAAATAATCTGGGGGTGGGGAGTTTATAGATGAAACAAGACTGCTGAAACAGTGATGGCTTGAGAGGGTGTTGAGAATAGACTATCCTCTCTACTCTTGTATATGTTCAAGACTTTTCATTTTTAAAAGTTCAAAAATATTCATCATTAGGCGGAATTCTTCACTTTTCTCTAAACTACTTCACTACCAGAGAATATTTCTTCTCTGTGCTCCTCTATAATGTATTCTGACATTGGACTTGGAAATAGCAAGCCTGAGTCATAATAAAGGCTAGCAATGCTTACAAAGACACAAAAATCAGCCTTTCATTACCCTGTAAATTATCTATTCTCCTCCACCATCCCAGGAAGCTCGTCCACGTCCAGGTGCTTACATCACCTCCAACACGGCTCCTCCAGAGCAGTCTGGCAGAGCAGACTGAAGGGGCGACACCACAGGAGACCTCCCTGCATTCGCCCATGCCCACCAAACCCCGAGTCATCCAAGCCTTCTCCCCAGACTTAAAATTCCACCAGGAGCCATCAAAGAATTTTGACTCTTTTCTACTTTGTGATTATATGAAAGCTCAGCCCCAAATAGCAAACCAGAGTTTTTCCCACTGTGATCAATAAGGACAATCACTGCGGGCCGGCCCCATGGCTTAGCCGTTGAGTGCACATGCTCCGCTACTGGCGGCCGGGGTTCAGATCCCGGCCCGCAGCAACGCACCGCTCCTCCGGCCATGCTGAGGCCGCGTCCCACATACAGCAACTAGAAGGATGTGCAACTATGACATACAACCGTCTACTGGGGCTTTCGGGAAAAAAAGGAGGAGGAGTATTGGCAATAGATGTTAGCTCAGAGCCAGTCTTCCTCACCAAAAAGAGGAGAATTGGCATGGATGTTAGCTCAGGGCTGATCTTCCTCATTAAAAAAAAAAAAAAAAGACAATTACAACAAAAGGTGTTTCTCAAATGAAAAGGATTTTATGGAAGTCGATAAGATGAAATTTTGCGGGAACATTCTGAGACACCAAACCTAAGAAGTTGAGAGCCATCTAAAGGGTATGAGCCAAAAGACCTAGTTCTAGTCCCTGGTCCCGTACTGACCATCTGCGAGGCCTCAGAAAAGTTATCTAATCTTTCTGGGCTTCCAGCTTCTTACCCGTAAAGTGAGATGAGCCCCACTTGCCTACTATCACTTCAGAGAAAGGTGGTGATGATCCAGTAAAAACACAAACGAGGGGGCCGGTCCGGTGGCGCAAGCAGTTGGGTGCGCGCACTCCGCTGCGGCGGCCCGGGGTTCGCTGGTTCGGATCCCAGGCACGCACAGACGCACTGCTTTGGCAAGCCATGCTGTGGCGGCGTCCCATATAAAGTGGAGGAGGATGGGCACGGATGTTAGCCCAGGGCCGTCTTCCTCGGCAAAAAAAGAGGAGGATTGGTGGATGTTAGCACAGGGCTGATCTCCTCACAAAAAAAAAAAAAAAAAACACAAACGAGCCTCATATGAGCAGCCAAGTGCTCTATCAGAGTCAGGTGGTGGTAAAGAAGAACAAACCTGGTACCTTCCTAACATCTTCGATGGGTGTAATGGGGAAGGAAGGGTATGTCTGGAGAGAGACATTTCACACTAGTAAAAAAAAAACCAAGGATGCCCAAGGTGCTCTCAGGCCCAGAGGCAAGAAGGAAAAGCATCAAAAGAACTAGACCAACCATCACGATCCATGCTAACCATACAAGAAATTGTCAGTCATAGATCTCTCTGCCCATTAGACTAAAAGATGGGAACCCCATCGTGAGTGACATCTTCCAACCAAGAGCGAAATGCGAGCAGTAAGCTGACCCAGATGCCCTCATTCAGGATGCCCACAGGAACATGCACATCTTCCTGGGATGAAACTCAACAAGGAGCCCTGACTCAGGAGGACCCGGGTCTTTGCACTGATGGCTCAACGGACACTGAATACTTGGGGGGCACATAGATCCCTTTTAAAAGTTCTTAATGTTATGACTGACACTCTAAATAGCAGGGTGTCAAGTTTACCTCTTTTCTTAAAGACCTTGACTAGCCATGTAATAAATGCCTGCATGTGTGAGAGATCAATAAAATACAAAAACTAGCAGATCCGCATTTTAGGCATTTCCTACTACTAGGTAAAATACTTAAAAGCAAACACCGGTAATCTATTTGATGTCTACCAGGTTATTAGCAGAACACACACAGCCCTGCTAAACTTCCCTAAGTTGAGACAGAGGGGAAGGACTGGATCTTGAGGCCGGCCTTCTCCAGAGCAGCCCAGCCCTGGGGCTGCATGGGACCCCTGCCACCGGCACTGTGCATTCCGTGGCCTGTCTAGCTCTCAGCTCGCCTACAAGAGTGGAGCTGGCCCCGCTGGAGTTCTGCTCTGACCGTGTTCACTGCGGTGCTCACGGGCTCGTTCCCTTCCCTTCCGCACAGAAGGTAGGAAGGGAACATTTTTAGCGTTCACTGTCTCTCAAACGATAAAACAAGACAGGTCTACGTAGAACATATGCCAAGCACACACAGTAAAGTAACTGCGCTCAAAATAGGCGTCTGTTAGCATGATCCTAAGCGGCCAAGTGCAGCCTGGCCTGTGCGGTCGGAAGGAGAGAACGGCTTCAGCCAAGCCAGACCTGGGCCCTCAGCTGGGGGAGCCGCAGGGCACTTCTCCACTCGGGGGCACGTCCCCGCGCCAGGAGCTCCCCTCTGCTCAGGAAAGATCCGGCTCGTGCGGCGCGGGGAGGGGGCCACACAACTTCTTTAAAGGGGGAAGAGGAGCCTTGGCGCAGTTCAACCAGAGGTGAGAGCCGGAGAAGCGAATGGAAAGAGAGCGCGGGGCCCCTGACCTAGCCACGCTCCCCTCCGTGGCGGCCCGCCCGGAGGAGGCGCGCAGGCCAGGCTCCACGCCGCGGGCCCGGCGCCCGCCCAGTTACCTGCTCTGCCCCGTAGACCGTGGCGAACTGGACGAAGTCCTCGATGCGGACGAAGCCGTCCCCGTCCCCGTCCAGGGCCTCGAACACGGCCCGCAAGCGGGGGCCATCCTCCGGACAGCCCGCGGGCTCGCTCGACAGGGGGTGGGTCTGGCTCAAGTCCGAGGGCCGGTCTGGGTCCCCGGGCCCCTCCAGCCCCAACTCGCCCTCCGAGGGCGACGGGAAGGACGGGAAGAGGCCAGTGTCGCCCCTCCGGTGGTGGCCGTGGCTGCAATCCTGCACGCGGGCAGCCGCGCTCTGCGGGCAACTTGGGGGGCCGTAGTCCTCTGGCTCTTGAGTCCAGGAGAAGAGAGGGCCGAGCTCCGGCAGCTGCCTGTCGGGGTCGGGGCCGGGGTCCAGGTCGGGGCCCGGGTCCAGGTCGGGGTCAGGGCCGGGGTCCAGATCCGGGTCCAGGTCGAGGTCCTGGTCCGGAAAGAGGCAGGAGGCCCCCGGGCCCGGGGCGGGCGC